ATATTGTTTTGATTACTGTGGCCTTGTAGTACGTTCTAATGTCTGGAAGCGTGATCCCCCCAACTTTGTTCTTATTTCTCAACATTGCGGTGGCTATTCATGGTCTTTTTTTTTTTCCATATGAATTTTTGGATTACATTTTCTATTTCTGAGAAAAATGCCCTAGGTAGTTTGATGGGAATTGCATTGAATCTATATATTGCTTTAGGCAATATGGACATTTTTAACTATATTAATTCTTTGAGTTTTCTTTTTTGTTTCAAGCTCAACTGAGCTTGAAAATACCATGTTTATTTGTTCATCTAGTATTTATACCTTCTCTATTATTTTTTGGGATTTAGTATGGGAGGTGAAGACTGTAACATGTTATCAGTCTGATATTTTTGAAACTGTAAGTTGTTTTCTTTTTTAATTAATGCCCTGCTTTTGCTAAGACTGTAACGGTAATACTGCAAGTGGGTAACATATAATCACTGATGAAGAAGAAAGCTGGTGATCTCTTGGGTGGTTCACTTCCATATCACTGCTTCTATTGTATGTCATCGGCAAGATGTTGGATTGGGTTAAGTTGAACTGGAAAAGTGTGTGTACGTAGGATGGGGTGAGATGGTTCTTACAATAGAGTAGTGTCTGTGTACATCGGCTTACTTTATTCAATTATTGTTTTACCCAAAATATGTGTGTTTATCTACACCTATTGCAAATTCAAACATCAAAATATTATATATGGTAAATGAAATCAACAAAGGTATTATCAAGTATTAACATTTTTGGAAAAAATTGTTAGTTACAATAGGGAAAGAAAGGATTACTTTCAGTCTCTGTTGGATTAGGCTTACACTGGATCAGGGATGGAGAAAGATCTAAGATGTACTTCAGAAGGAAACACAAAAGAAATTTAGAAAAATAATTTGATGTATGTATATCTCCATATTTGTCTATATTTTGCCTTTTTTCTTAAAATATTAGTTTCCTTTCTTGACCTTTCTCCAAGTTTCATACTGAGTCTTTTATTTTTGTTTATTATTTTGTTTGTTTTGGTCAGTCATGAAGCCTTTTTTTTTTTTAATTGTGATGTATTTCACATACCATAATATTTGCTCTTTTAAGGTATACAAATCACGCCTGAAACAAACAAACAAAAAGTATACAAATCAATGGTTTTACTATATTCACAAAGGTGTGCAATCATCATCACTATTTTTTTATTTTTATTTTTTAGCTGAGCCGTCCTGCCACCTGTTGGCAGCTCAGCTGCAGCTCAGCTCGGGCTGTGAATCAAACCGGTGACCCTGTTGCTCAGAGATCGCACTCTTGAGCGAGCTCTTAACCAACTGAGCCACTTGGCCGGCCCTTCATCATTACTTTAATTCAGAACATTTTCATCACTCCAAAGAAACCACATACTCATTAACAGTCACTTGCCGTTTTCCCTTCCCTCTAGCTCTTGGCAACCACAAAGTATCTTCTATCTCTGAATTTGTCTATTCTGGACATTTCATATAAGTGGAGTCAAACAATATGTGACCTTTTGTGTCTGGCTTCTTTCACTTTCCATGATTTATGCCTTGGCATAAATCAGTACTCTTTCCTTTTTTATGGCTGAATAATATTCTACTGTATGGATAATACCACATTTTGTTAATCGTCTGTTGATGGCCTTTGGGTTGTTTTCACTTTTGGGCTGTTATGAGTACTGCTGCTGTGATCATTCCTATACAAGTTTTTGCTTGCATATACGTTTTCATTTCTTTGAATATATTCCTAGGAGTGGAATTCCTAGGTCATATGGTGACTCAATGTTTAACCTTTGAAGGAACTATCATACTTCTGTTTTTCAAAGCACACCATTTTACACTCTCACCATTGTGGTGTATGACGGGTCCAATTTACCCACATCCTTACCAACACTTATTACTGTCTGTCTTTTTTAGTATAGCCACCGTAGTGGGTGTGGAGTGGCATCTCATTGTGGTTTTGATTAGTATTTCTCTGATGGCTGTTTGATGTGGAGGATCTTCTCATGTGCTTATTGATCATTTGTGTATCTTTGAGAAAAGTCTATTTAGATTCTTTGCTCATTTTTTTATTGGGTTGTCTTTTTATTGTTGCATTGTAATTCTTTTTATATTCTGTATACTAGACCCTTATCACATACATGATTTGCAAATGTTTTTCCTGTTCTGTGGGTTGCCTTCACTTTCTTTTTTTAAAGATTTTTATTGGGGAATTGGGGGATGAGAACAGTGCTGGGGAATTGGGGGAAGAGGAACAGACAAGTTGCTGTCGTTTTGTTCTTCAGTCTAGTTGTGGAGGATGTTGCTTCACTGGCCCAAGTTGGCACCATCACTGCGCTCTTCCTAGGTGAGGCAGGTCAGTCGCCGGCTTCTGGACGGCCGCTCACTGCGGCTGCTGGCCGCTCACGCTGGCTGCTGGCTACATACGGTAGCCCATGGCAACCCACTGCCACAGGGGCTGCAGCCTACGCCGTCGCCGGCGACTCACGGCAGCCCAGCTCCAGGTTGAGCTGTTGTTCAGCATCTTAGTGTAGAGGGCAGTGTCACTGGCCCTCACATGTGGGATCCGAACCGGGGCCCTCTGGCTTCCCAAGCCAGTTCTTAACCAACGCGCCACTCGGCCGGCCCTGGCTTCACTTTCTTGATAGTGTCCTTTGAAGCACCAAAAACTTTCATTTTGATTAGGTCCAGTTTATTTTTTCTGTGGTTACTTGTACTTTTGGTGTCATAGCTAAGAAACCATTGCCTAATCCAAGGTCAGCAAGATTTACACCTATGTTTCCTTTTAAGATTTTTATAATTTTGTCTCTTAAATTTAGATGTTTGATCCATTTTGAGTTAATTTTTGTATATGGTATAGGATAAGTGTCTAACTTCATTCTTTTGTTTTTGGGTGTTCAGTTTGTCCCAGCACCATTTACTGAATGGGTCTTTTTTTAATAATCATCTTAGGTCCTTGATCTCATTTAATTATCACAACAGCCCTATGAGATTTTTATTGTCATTATCAACTCCATTGTAGGGATTTTGAAACTGAGTTTCAGAAGCTAAGTCTCTTATCCAAGGTCTCACAGCTCAAACCCCAGGTCTGGTTAACTTCAGGCCATGACATTTAACCACTAGGTGGACACTTCCTTTGCTTCTGTGAAATGTAAACACTCTTGGTCAAGTAGGAATACTGCTCAGAAATTAAGTGGTTGTCTAGGACTAAAGAACATTTTGGAACTAACACTATATGTTTCAAGAACAAAGAAAAGAGAGAACCCTACAGGGTGTTGACCTTTTATACCAATTCCTGCTTTTATCCAGTAATGCCTAATAACCCTGGACCCTTAGCAAAGGATTTTAGGATTGAATTTTCGTTATCTGGGACAACAAGAGTAACACTGACCTTTAGAACTTTCTGTGATAATGACTATGTTGTATATCTCCACTGTCTAATACATTTGCCACTTGCCAGATGTGGCTATTGAATACCTGTGGCTTGATTTGTGCACCTGAGGAACTGAATTATATTTACTGTGGTAAAACATACATACCATAAAACTTAACAATTTTAACCATTTTTAAGTATAGAGTTCAGTGATATTAAGAGCATTTACAATCACAATATTGTACAACCATCACCACCATCCATCTCCAGAACTTTCTCACCTTCCCCAACTGAAACTCTATCCATTAAACATTAACTTTTTTTTTTTTTTTTTTGGAGGGCAGTGTCACTGGCCCTCATATGTCGGATTCGAACCAGGGCCCTCTGGCATCCCAAGCCAGTTCTTAACCATCGCGCCCCTCAGCTGGCCCTAAACATTAACTTTTTATCACCCTCTTCCCCCTGCTCCTGTCCTTGGAAACTGCCATTTTACTTTCTGTGTCTATGAATTTGACTATAGGAAGTCTGTATAAGGAGGAATGGGATTTCTAATTTTAGTGAATTTGTATTTAAATAGCCCCATATGGCTAGGGGCTACCTTACTGGACAGCGCAGGCCTAGAGCCGGGCTGGGCCTGAAAGAAGCATGCTTCTCACACAGTTTACATCACTTTCTAACACAGCCTGAGTCTGTAGCATCTAGAGCCTTTGTGGCATGAGAGAGCACTGACCCGGAGAAGGTAACTGAGAGGCTAACTTGAATGAACAAGCATCTCTTTAATGCATAGAGACTCTAACGATAGGCAAAGAAGGACATTGCTCTGGAATGCTAACACTGCATTCTTTCCCCAGACAGTCTGCTCCAGGAAATCTCCACCCTTCACTCTCTAAATTCCCAACTTGTGATGTGGAATTGCCCAGGTTTTCTGGCCTTCTGGGATGATGTGAGAGGTAGTGAAACAGCATTTTTCGGTGTTTTGCACTTACTAAAAGCTGGCCCCTCAGTGAATGGTGTGATGTAATTAGCACTCCCCATATTTGGAAAAGTCACGTTGTCTGAATCATAAATCACATCTGAGGTGGAAGTGAAACTCCTGTAATTAACCGCTGTGAACGAGTCTCACCCTCATTCTTGTTTTGCGGTTTCCAGTTCTGGACTTCAGTGACCCCTTCAGCACAGAGGTGAAGCCGAGAATCCTGCTTATGGGCCTGAGGAGAAGCGGCAAGTCATCCATTCAGAAAGTTGTCTTTCACAAAATGTCTCCCAACGAAACACTGTTCTTGGAGAGCACGAACAAGATCTGCCGGGAAGATGTTTCCAACAGCTCCTTTGTTAATTTTCAGATTTGGGACTTCCCAGGACAGATTGACTTTTTTGACCCTACATTTGACTATGAGATGATCTTCCGGGGAACAGGAGCACTGATATTTGTCATCGACTCCCAGGTAAAGCTCAGTCTTGGGTACGATGGGACTGCCCCTTGGGTACAATGGTACATAGGCAGCCCCTCCCCTGGGTTCAAACAATTTCCTTTATGATGGTTTCAGTTTGGTCTTTAGAATCAGAAATAGGCCTTTTTACCAAACAAGCATTTATCAGTTTGGGGCGCTAAGGGTTTGCAAAGAGAAAAGGCACCCTCTGTGCAGCCCTGACCAACAAGCAATGAAGATAGGGAACTGTGTAGCTCTGTATGTCTCAGCAAACCATAGACCTCAGCAAACTTCACAGATGGAGGGGCCCACTACACAGACCAAAGATACTCTCGGCAGACATCTCTAAAAGATCACAGGTTCTCTGCAACACAAATATGTATATAAATTTATATTTTCAAATGTTTGCTATTTCCTATGAAGATAAAGGTCTAAGTGTGAAAGTTTTTCTTCTGAATTAAATTATTATAATTTCAAGCACATAATTGATAAAGACAGTAACTATTGTGTATTTTATAGGTAACTGTTAAATATAAAAAGTGAAATTTGAGATAAATGTATCTCTTAAGAAAATGGATATTTTCCCATTTAATTCATGTATCCATGCTTGAGTAAGGCAGGATTTGGCATTAATTCTGTTTTTGGTTTTTGTTTGTATGGATGGAAGCCCTGAGAAACCTCATTCACATAAATAAGTCGGTAGGTATAGAGTGAGTTTTGGTATAGGCGTTCACTCAATTTTTTTAAACCCCTTCCAAATTACACCCCCTAAATTGCCCAGTTTCCTATCATGAAAATTATTTTTAGTAGTTTTTCAACAGACATGTTAATTCGGTCCTCCTTTAACATTGCCGAAAGCAGAGAATTAGGAGCCCCTTGACTGGTGAAAAGCCTTATTCCGCAGGCATCAGTCATTCACTTTATCAGTGATTCAGACCAGCCTTCTGAAATGTCTCTTTGGCATCCTGGGATTTTATGCCCTGGGCCTTTCTCCTGTTAGGTGGGAGCAGGGCCGGTGGATACAGGGGAGGAGGGACAGGGAAGCGGCAGGTGCATTTCAGGCAGGTCGTGTAAGAAAGAGTACAGGCAGCAGGATTGCGACATTGATGCCCTTCAAACTCTCCATGTCCAGGTATCTTAGAAAGTGTCTCTGATGTGTGGCCCAAGATGAATAGCCTCCCAAGGGCTCTCTTTTTCAGCTGTGGGGGAATAAAAGGCCATCAGTCCTACAGGAATGTGCTATAAACCAATGCTAAATTCAGGTCGAGATATTTTCCTGAAACTGTGGACCTACAACCAGACAGGTGGGCCGAGCACTCCCAGACCTTCCAGGAGCACCCGTGTAGTCAGAGGGGAAGTGATGTAAAGACTTTGTAATAATGGTTTTGAGCCTATGCGTGGAAAACTGTTCTCTGCAAAAACTACTCATGCCTGAGAGCATCATAAACTCATTTACAGAACTAGGTGCCTGTTTAATATAATAATGAAACCTTCAACTAAGCCTTTTAGTTCCAAGTGACTGCAATGTGTACTTCTAGTGCAGCTATGGGAGCTTGGCCATCTGGTTAGAAAGGGCTCTTTCTTTTTTGGTGGGGTGTGTGTGGTGGGGGAGATTTTAAATTCCAGTGCCTGATCTAGGAACAGCAGTGCCTGTCCTCCCCTGAACCCCCAAAAATGCATGCTTAGACACACCTGCCTCAAGTCCAGGGCCAGCTGTCAGTCACTGCTTTCCTGGCTGTCCCACTGTGCTGACCTGTTTTCTGGCCCATCTGTGGCCTTGGCAGGATCCCCTGCCTTCCTGCCTCAGGTCTGCCAGCACCATAAATTAAGGAGCTTGTTGCCGGAGAGGAGCGACCAGGTGTGTACACGTTGCTGCAGGGGAGGTGAGGCCCCAGGGATATCACGCTCATCTGCCCCTTCTAAGCTTCATTTTCTCCCTAAGTCACATGGCCACTGTTCTTCTGTAGTTGTTGAATTAGGTAGCAGTAGCAGTTGCTCTACTCATGAGTAAATAGATTCCAACCAGATGACTGATCATTTCAAGACAGTGGCTTAGTAAGTTCTTACTTCAATACCATGTTATGCGTGCCTAGCAATTTACATTTATGGAATTCAGATTTCCAAAGCAAATCTATCTCAAGTGTTTGTATGATGGCTATAATGTGGCTAAAATACAAGTAGGTACACTTGCCTATTTTAAAATTGCAACATAATTTGTTTTTAATTCTATCTGAACATGAAAGTGGACCTTCAATTTAGGTAGGTAAATGTGTTTTTTTGTTTTGTTTCTTGTTTTTTCCGTTTCCTTTTTTTTAAAGACTTTCTTTAGGAATTTGGGGAGGGGAACAGCATTTGGGAATCAGGGGTAGGGGACAAGTCGCTGTCCTTTTGTTCTTCAGTCTAGTTGTGGAGGACGTCGCTTCACTGACCCATGTTGGTATTATCATTGCGCTCTTCCTTCCTGAGGCAGCCGCTCACCGGCCATTGGACGGCCGCTCACAGTGGCTGCTGGCAGCTCACGCCTGCTGCCAGCCGCTCACACTGGCTGTCGGCCACTCATGGTAGCTCACGGCAGCCCACTGCAGCCCCACTGCAGCCTATATGCCGCCACCGGCGACTCAGAGCAGCCCAGCTTCAGGTCGAGCTGTTGTTCACCATCTTAGTCATAGAGGGCGCAGCGTCACTGGCCCATGTGCGATCCGAACCGGGGTCCTGCTGCTCAGAGCTCACGCTCCTAAGCCAATTCTTAACCAACAAGCCACTTGGCCTGACTTCCTTTGCTTTTTTTTTTTAAGCTGTGAAACAGAGAAAGGTATAAGAATGCTTGCAAAATTCCTCTTTTTAAGTCACATTTTTTAAAAGAGGGTAGGAAAACTATTGTAAGAGAGCTGTCATTTACTAAAAATAGATAAAATAATTTAAGAAGCAGTTTCAGAGTCTGTCATATACTTTTCTACTGGGAGCAGACTATACAAATCTTACTTGTGGGACTCTCTACATGATGCGATACAAGCACTAAGAAGAAGAGCACACATTAGGGAGGTATCTCGGCAGCACTTGAACATCACTGCCTTTATTTCTAAGCGTGCTCTGCTCGTCTGACACCTCATATTTTTACTTATTGCTTGTGAATTCCTCACAATCACAGGATTGCCTGATAACTGTATCACTGAGGAGAAAATGTGTCCTTACAGAATGCTGCAAAAGAGAATGAAAGCATCAAGAGTGATTCCCACGACCTAAATATATGATACCACTAGTCCCCCACAGAGCCCACAGAATGTACTATGTCTCCAGGGCCACCCTCGGCCCCCTGAAGCCATTCCACATGTGCCTTGGGACACACATGTTTATAATTTCCTAGATCTAATTTTGGATTGAAAATAGCCAGTATATGTTTCCTTTGTTTTTATTTGTTGTAGATGATAGTAACAAATACAGTAGGAGAAATCACCCACAATCCCTTTGCTCTAATAATCCAAGTATTTTCTTCTTTTTAATGTCATTTTTAGTCCTTGTAGCTATATACCACTTCATCAGCTAGTTTGTAATCAGACTATTTTATATGCTTGGCAGGGAGGTTAGTGTAGCAATTTCTACTAATTTGACATTGTGATGCTCTCTTGACATTGGCTAGTTTTGCTCACAGGCATGTCCCCTTAACTCCCCTGTTCAGTTAAAAACAGAAGCAATAACTTTTTTGAGGTGTAATGTACATACAGTAAAATGCCCTAATTTTAAGTGCACAGTTCAATGTGTTTGACAAATGTATACACCTTGTAACTACCACAAATTCAAGATGTAGAATATTTCTACCACCCCAAAAAGTTTCTTTGTGTCCTTTCTCAGGCAGTCCCTCAAACTTCAGCCCCAGGCAACTACTAATGTGCTTTCTGCCACTATAGATTAGTTTGCTTTTTCTAGAATTTCATATATGTGAAACCATACAGTAATAACTTTAGTTTTTATTTGAGATATTTTAAAGTATAACAAACGTGCAGCAAATCATTAGTCTAGAATTTTTCCAGACTACTGAATCTACTAGCCCAGTGTCCAATATTTGTCTTTCATTTTAAACAACTCTTTAGAGTATGAGGATGAGAAAGATTCCATTTGCTATTTTTCTCTTTTCATCATTTATTATTAATAGCTTTAATATTTTGATTTATCTGGAGACTAGGAATACTTGTTTCTTAATTTAGTTTGCAGAATAGAAGAATGCCAAAAAACATCCCCTTTTTTATTGGCTTTCTGTGTTTGTCCAGGTTTGGGGTCAAAATAGGGGTGAAAAGTCTTTTAAACTCTGTCCTGCAGATCCCTTTTCTTTTTTTTTGCTATAAAAATAAGACCTGTTTATACCCTTCAGATTGGTAATAATTAAGAGATCTGACAAACACTAAGTTTTGGTGAGGGTCTGGAGCATTGGGTGCTCATACACATTATCTAGTCAAGTTCAAGGTGTCCATTCCTATAACCCAACAGGTCAGCCTTCAGGGCAAGCTGTAAAAAACTCACAAATAGGCACAAAGATGAGTGTATGAGACTGTCCACATTATCATTGTCTGAACTAGAACATAACTGGAAACATTCTGAATATCCATCAATAGGCAAATATATGATAAATTACACACCATCCATGCAATGAAATTTTATAGAGTTAAAAAGAGCTATGCACTAGAGTTATATGCTTCAATGCAGGTCAATCTTTGACATAATGTTGAGTGAAAAAGGCAAACTGTAATATACATGTAACTTGATATTTCTGTAAATTTTAAAATAATATAAGTGAATTCTGTATGTTGTTTAGGGATACATATGTATGTAGTAATGTATAAAGAGATGAGTGAGAATAAACAGTAAACTTGGGATAGTGGTACCTCTGGAGGGTAGGGGGTAGAGTGATGGGGTGGTCTGGGAGGATGGGGAGAAATGCACAAGGTCTCAGTGCCTACTGTTTGATTTTTTAAACAGAGAGATACATATACATGTATTCATTATATTATTATATAGGTATCATCTGTGGGAAGGGGGAAAAATACTATTGTGTTATTTGGGGCAATGGCTGTTGACAAGGGGTCAGCAACCTCTTCTGTAAAGGGCCAGATGGTAAATATTTTGCACTTTGCAGACTATACTGTCTCTGAGGAGTTTCTACAAAGGAAAACCACTCAACTCTGCCATTGTAGCATGAAAGCAGCCACGCACAGTATGTAAACAAATGAGTGTGGCTGTGTTCCAATAAAACTTTACTTACAAACAACAGCTATGGGCCCAATTTGGCTGCTCTAGACCAGTGGTTCTTAAAATTTTCCTCCTGGCTCCTTCCCTATCCACCCAGTGACCCATATCATGTTTTCATCTCTAATTGTTTGTTGCCATTCACCATGAGACTCAAAAATCTGGGAGGAATTGTATCCCAAGGAAAGTCTTAGGTGACCTTTGTGAATTTTCATTTCACAGAATTGCAGCTCTGATCTTTATGACTGTCACCAAGCTAGTCACAACTACTTAGAGCTGTGTTTTTTTGGCCTCTCTTCTTCATTTCTTTGTTAATAGCTCTTCAGTTTTCAATCTTGAATTCTATGAAACCAGCTTTTATTGGGCTTTTGTGAAATATTTTTGGAGGTTGTACCCAGATGGTGTCCAGATTAAGAATGTATGTGGGAAGGAAAAAAATGGTTAACTATGAGGCAAGGTGCTGGAAAGGTTAGTTATCTTGATTGGGGGGAATCATTTCACAACATATATGTGTATCAAAATATCACATTGTACACCTTAAACATATGCAATGTTTATTTGTCAAGCATACCTCAGTAACACTGGGGAGGGGTTGAGCGGGGGTGGGGGTGAGGAGGATGTACGTGGAAGGCAGCTTAGAAGGCTGAAGAAGCAAAGCAGCCTCCCCTAACAGGAGTGTGCCTTTGTTCCTAGGACGATTACATGGAAGCCCTGGCCAGGCTGCACCTCACAGTGACCAGGGCCTACAAAGTGAACACCGACATCAACTTCGAGGTGTTTATTCATAAAGTGGATGGTCTGTCAGATGACCACAAAATTGAAACTCAAAGAGATATTCACCAGAGGGCAAACGATGACCTTGCTGATGCTGGATTAGAAAAAATTCACCTCAGGTGAGAACAGAAACCCCACAGGATTCACAGCACTGAACGGGGAAAAAAGCAGCTCTCAGGTCCACAGTGGTTTGGCACAGGCAGTAATTTACTTGTTTACCCCATTTTGCATTGTAGACTTTGGGATAGTATTTGAGAAAAGCAAGCTTTGCATGTGTTAATTCTAATCTTTGGAAAAAGCAGTGGGGTTAAAAAATTTTTTTTTAACAAATGGTCAAAGCTAAGATTCTTCCCTCATTTGAAAAACATAAAACCCGTGAACATAATCCAGGAAGTTAACAGACACTGAAGTTTACAGTTCTTGATAAATATGATAATATCTATAACTGTGAAGGTAATTCAAGTAGAAACACAGAATAAAACCACTTCGTTGTGATAATATCTATAACTGTGAAGGTAATTCAAGTAGAAATACAGAATAAAACCACTTCGTTGTCATTTTTTGAGAGATGCTACATGTATCATTCATTTTGCAAATTAGGAAGTGAAAAAATTAGACACGTCAATATGAATAATATAACCATTATTAACCTAAGGTGTGTATGCAGATAATCTGGTGCGCATTCTCTTGCAGAATGTAAGGTAGCTGGTATGGACACATATGGTGCATTTTTAAACTTCCCAGTCCAGCCAGCCAGCAGATGAGACTGGGCACAGTTCTGGCTTTGGGGGAGTTGGGAAGGAATGGCCTGTTAAGACATGTTCCTTTTTTACCAAGGTTGTTTTGAATTCTAAAGCGGGCTAGAATGTGTGTGTAATAAGTGTAGATACAGAAGGCGGGGTACTGGTGTTACGTTTGGCACTGGCTAAATTAGTATGCTGTATTAATGACAGAGCCTAAGCAATCGATTCCTCAGTTGGGAGGAAAACGTGATAAAATATTGTTTCCTCTTTCAGCTTTTATCTGACAAGCATATATGATCATTCAATATTTGAAGCTTTTAGCAAAGTGGTTCAAAAACTAATTCCACAACTTCCCACCCTGGAAAATTTGCTAAACATCTTTATCTCAGTAAGTAAAGAATATCGTCCTATTAGTGTCATTTGTAGAATTTAAGAATAACATTATAAGTGTGAAAACTACCTTCTTTCTTCTTACTCTTACAGCATTTTATGGTCACCGAAGTATTACTTTTGGAGATTGCCCCTTCCAGTTGTTTCAGGTCCTTTAAAATTTAACTTCCGACATTGATTCATGTACTTCACTGGTATAATTGGAGTGTTTATTCAAGTTGTAGGCCATCATGCAATGTTAATAGAGCCCTACCATGGGTAGGGAACATAAAAGTTGGTCTTGGCGATAAGGTATAACATAGTGTTCACACTGAATGATGTGCTGGTTGAATGAGTCCTATAAGCTGCCAGCTCTAGTCAGGCCCCTCAGTAGAACTGAGGCAGACCTGTTGGTTGTACTCACATTAATTCTTGTTGTATAATTTGAGTTTGCTTGTTTAGATTTTTAATTTTTTTTTTCATTTAGAATCAGTAAAATTAGTGTATTTGCTTGGCTTTTTTTCCTAACTGTAGGTACACTTCTAAGTCAGGAAACACCACTCAATTTGTTTACCTATACTAACTAATTTGTGATAATTAATTCCACTTTCATTTCTTATGCAAGTCTGTTATAAAGAAGTTTATGACAATGAGGTTTAAATTGTAATAAAATGGATCAACCTAAATTTTTAGTAACTTAATTTTTGCTCGTTCATCTTTTACATTGAGGATGGCATGTAAGTTTATGTAACCATGACCTGGTCTGAAATCAGCTGTTGCTTTAAGTCAGCATCTTTTTGTTTCAGAATTCTGGAATTGAAAAGGCATTTCTATTTGATGTGGTCAGTAAAATTTATATTGCAACTGATAGTACCCCAGTGGACATGCAAACCTATGAGCTATGCTGTGATATGATTGATGTGGTTATTGACATCTCTTGTATTTATGGGTAAGTAAAACATTTTTAAAGGCTACAATCAAATCATACTTCTTTCATTACCTTTGAGACATTTTTCATTTACTTATTTGATTTTAATACTTTTGTTTTAAATGAGATCTATAAATAAATATAACATTTATCATGCAATAATAGTAACATCATTATTGAGTAAATGTCGGCAATTATGCTAATAATCTCATTGCATACATTATATCATTTAATTCTCCACTATTCCTTGAGGCAGGAAGTACTATCCCCCATTTTAAAGAAGGGAAAACCAAAGTTCACACTGGTTAAATTTCTAACCTCTGCTCACTTTGTCATTAAGGGACAGAACTATAATTTGAACTCAAGTCTAACTAATTCCTGGTTCCTCTATTGAAAAACCTGTCATCATATCACAATGCCTTATGCTCTTGGGAGAGACTAATAATTAGTGTCCTTGAACTCTAAGTAAATATCTCAGACTAACATCAGTTCTGTTATCTTCTTTATTACAGGAGATAACTACTGGTTTGCTTGTTTGTTTAATATATTTTTAATTGTCTTCAATTGTGGGCAGCAGAGAATTATAAAACTAAGCAAACATTACCTATTTATTATTATGGTCTTATGTTCTTAAAAAGCAGAACTTTCTATACATTTAAAATAATATAAAATAAACAAGGAGTGAGGAAAATTTGATGATGTTACCAGACATAGAAACAATTACACGTAATTATAAATTTGCTCAATAGGCGTCGTACAGAATGAATGGATGTGAACTAGTTTGTCTAAGACATCAAGTTGTTGCTACCTATTTATCCTGGATCTTACATCCTCATCCAATCATTGATAAGTTTAAGTGTTTGTTCATCTTGCTCTTTCTTCCCTGGCTGTGACCTGCTTTTCACAGCCTCCTCTGTCAGCTTCTGTAAGAGTCTCAGTTTCACCATTTCTCTCTTACACTGGCTGAAAATCCTTTGCCCACTCAGTTCACTTTCACTTGGTTAATTGTTATACACACATGCACATACAGTCCCTTCCATTGTGCAAAAGGGAAAGTGATATTTCACAGGACTTCAGTGAGAATAAAATATCATTAGGCTTCACCTGGTAGACCCTGGATAAATGTAACTGCTATTATTGTTATGATGATGATGATGATGATGATGATGATGTCGATGTCTGGCTTTAGAAATAGACCTTATTTTCCAAGATTATCGCCCTACAGTAATCTATTGTTTTTAAACTGTAAGCGAATGACCTTGAAATAGCCAAGGAAGCTGACTGTACCCTGATTACAGTCTACATTGTTGTGGTAATCAAATATAATAGTACAAACAACACAGTCTGGCACATATTTAATGATATGCATAATCATTATTGTGCCATAAGGTAATTAGACATAAGTGGTAAATTGTTCATGTAAATGATGTTAATCAGAGTCACTTTTACCCAGCTAAAACAAACACGGGGAGGGAGAGGTTGGGAAGAGGAGGGAGCTGGGCCCTGCCGTCAGATTGTTTTTCTGTGGTAGAGTGTTCCTGCAGCGTTCCTGAGAACCCACCAGGTTTAGTGAGAACCAGTCTGAGCCTCAGATGGGGCCCTGGGGTTTTCTCAGACTGCTGGAGAGGCAGAGAGCCAGCCCAGTTAACCAGCAGGGCGAGGGGGCCAGGAATGCGCGCAGCAGCCCAGGGAGCAGGCTTACTGCCAGTTCCCAGCTGCTCCCTGGAGACCGGCAGGGTTTAGAAGCAGGTGACCTGGTGCCTCAGTTGGTTTGCTCAGGAATCTCAGCTGAGCTTCTGCTAAGGCCGGTCATCTCTACACACACACACACACACACACACACACACACACACACACACTCTCTCTCACTCTAAAAATACCTTCCATCTTCATGTGTTTTTATTGCTTTGTAGATAGAAACTTGAGTAGAACATAGTTGTTACAGTTGTAAAACCTCACCAATTTTTGCTTTTAATTTTTTGGGGGCTTTTTGTTTAATGTTTACTTTTTCCTGATAATGAATGTAATCCGTGCGCATAGCAGAAAACGCAAAAGTATAAAGAATAAAATTGAAATACTCCTTAACCTCATCACCTAGAATTAGTTTCTAACATTTTTATATATTTTATTCTTATTTCTGTGTGTCATTCTTAGGATAATGTGATCACTTTGTATATATAATTTTATATACTGCTTTTTTAATTTAACATCACTTAAGAATTTTCCTGTGATAAACAATGTTCCTTGTCTATATAACATAGCATTATATTTACTTGGAAATTTTAAATGCAGTTTTCTTCATTGGGCAAAAATTTTTAAATGTTTCAGTTTATTGTTCTCAGAACATTACTTATAAATAAGCAGGAGAAATTTAGTCTAGAAAAGCAGTAGTTAAAAATAATACAAAGGAAGTTAAAAATTCTGGCAAAACATCTTTAACATCTGAGATCCAACACCGAAAGATTTTCTTTACTGATTTGGTAGGTTATAGTGAGTTGAATCATTTTTTAAAAAAACTAACTCCCACAATTTTCTTTTAGGTAGCCATGTGTGTGCCAGTTTAAAATACTCTCAAAACTGAAAACTTACATTTCCTTTAAAATACAATTCAGGCATTTTCATTTAAACTGGTTTGTCGTCCTATCCCCTTGTGATATTTATGAGATTAAAAGCATTAACTCTGAAATTAGATTAGTCTGAGATCTGGGCTATACCCCAATCATCAGCTTTGATCAAGTTATCTTATTTTCCCCAATCTCAGTTCCTCAATACCTAGCTTAGAGGATCCTTGTGCCAGAAAATGGATAATACATGGTAAGAACGAAGCATGGTGCTCATCACAAAGAATATGTTTAGTAAATGCTGGCTCTTACTATGCAAAAGTGATAACGTTTGGCACTGGCTAAATTAGTATGCTGTATTAATAAGGCTTAGCTCAGTTCCAGTTAAGTCAGGTTTCTGTCAATTATTCATATATTTGTGAAGTAAAAATAAATGAGAAAATGTATACACGGGTATAAATAGGGGGAAAAGGTACAGGGAAGTGCTCCTTTGCCTGTGAAGAAAGGATACATAACTCTTTGATTACATCAGTGTCTTCAGGGGATCCAGTTTAATCATTAAGGGAATAATAATGATAGCAGTTAACATTCATTGTGCATTTTACATGTTCTGAGCGTTGTGCTCAGTGTTATATATGTATTATTTAATTACATTAAGAAACTTTGAAGTAGTTACTGTTAGTATACAGATAAGGAAACCGAGGCTCAAAGAAGTTATTGAATTTACCCAAGTTCACATAGTAAGAGAGCTGAGATTCAAAACAAGTTCATCTGTGGGCCACACCATTTTTTAAATAGGCCAATATATTCACTTAACTTTTTTTTTTTTTTTCTTAAAGATTTTTATTGGGAAATTGGGGGGATGGGAACAGTGCTGGGGAATTGGGGGAAGGGGAACAGACAAGTTGCTGTGGTTTTGTTCTTCAGTCTAGTTGTGGAGGACGTTGCTTCACTGGCCCAAGTTGGCACCATCATTGCGCTCTTCCCGGGTGCGGGCAGATCAGTCGCTGGCTTCTGGACGGCCGCTCACTGCGGCTGCTGGCTGCTCACGCTGGCTGCTGGCTACATACGGTAGCCCATGGCAACCCACTGCCACAGGGGCTGCAGCCTACGCCTTCGCCGGTGACTCATGGCAGCCCAGCTCCAGGTTGAGCTGTTGTTCAGCATCTTAGCTGTAGAGGGCAGTGTCACTGGCCCTCATATGTGGGATCCGAACCGGGGCCCTCTGGCGTTCCAAGCGAGTTCTTAACCATCGCGCCACTCGGCCGGCCCTTAACTTTTTATTTTGAAAAGATTTCCAAACTACAGAAAATGTGCAGTGAACTCCTATATACCCTTTTCTGGGATTCACCAATTTTTATCAATTTGCCATATTTGCTAGCTCCCCCTTTTCCTATTCCATATTGTTTGCTTTTGCTGAACCATGTGGGAGTAATGTGCAGACCTCATAATTCTTTGATCCTAGCTCCTTGAGCAACTATCTCTTAAGAACAAGCACATTCTTTTACAGGACCACAGTTTAATTACCAAAGTAAGCATATTTAGCATGGCTACATTACTCTATTATCTAATACAGCCCATATTCAAATTTTACCAGCGATCCCGCTTCTATCTTTTACATCGTCTTCCCCACCCCCACCCCGATCCAGGATCTAGTTCAGCATTCACTGTCATGTGTCTTTAAGCTTTTTAACTCGGAACAGCTCTTCAGTCCCCTTTGGTCTTTCATCAGACAGTGCTTTTGACAGCCCTGTTATTCTCTCATGAGAAAATAAGAAGAAGTCCGTGTTGGCCACAAGGAGAGACCAGCTAACCTCCATCCCTCACCTGTGTTCCTCAGAAGCCTGGAGAGCTGCTTTGCTGCCACAACAGCCGCTCATTGTGTCAGTAGGAAAGTGACTGCCATGCATTGTGTACACTCTTGTGACTCTGTGTTTCTGAGATCTTTAGCTGAACTGCGCTGCAAGCGTAAAGCACTTGTCATTATACAACATCGTAGTTACCACTCTGTATGTTAAAGCTGGTCTCTGTTGCTGGGTTACAATGTGTAGTTCTTTCTCAATGGTCAAATACGTTTTGGTTTCTGTCGCCATTTAGTCTCAAAGAAGATGGAGCAGGAACCCCTTATGACAAGGAATCAACAGCCATTATAAAGCTGAATAATACCACAGTTCTTTATTTAAAAGAGGTGACAAAGTTCCTGGCTCTTGTTTGCTTTGTCAGAGAGGAAAGCTTTGAAAGAAAAGGTAAGTGTGTGTGTGTCTGTGTGTGTGATTTAAATGAAGCGTTTCGATTCAGAATAATACTGCCTTTACTGCTTGTTGAATGTGGTTAGCAGCTTCCAGACTTTAGTCACAGGCCCCCTTGGCTTCTGCCCACATCAATCAGGCTTTGGGGATCCGTGAATCAGCCTGTCTTCTATTGAAAGTGGTCATGAGGTGAAAGTGGAAGTGACCATCTGACCAGGGGTCTTAGCTTTTCTGGGAGGGAGCAAGGTGTGGTGTTTTTGCTAGGCTATCAAAGTCTTTTACCAGAGGGAGGGCCCCCAGCCTACAGTGAGAGCCGAGCGAGACCTGTCTCTTGGTCCACACCTCTAGAAGGTTTTAGGGACCGTGTGACCACTTGTGCCCCCCATGTAAAGGAGAGGGTTCATACTAATATTAAAGCTAGACAGTATTTAACTTCTGTCGGCCTTTGTATATTCTTTAGTCTTCAAAACACAGAGGTGCATCATTTCAAAAAGAGAAGACATGAATATACTTAATAACATCACCAAATATCTTTTTAGGACCAAATTTAAAGTTTTATTTTAAAACCAAAGCAATTAACTTCATAAAGATACTCACTTTCCCCCTGCTACCTAAACTGGGAAATACCAGCTTACTGGCATTGCCAGGGATTTTTGCTAGTAACTAGGATATGATTTACCATTTCGTTGGTTAAAAAATTTACCAACAAAGTGGCAATCATCACATTTACTGAAACAGCTTTTTCCCTTGTAAAGCAATACATGTTCACTATAAAAATACTTTGAAAATTTAGGAAAGTATAAAGAACAAAATAAAACCACTCAATTTCACCATTTAGAGCTAAACCCCATGTTAAATTTCTGGAATTTTCTTTGTCTCTTTCTTTCCACCCTTTCTCCCTCCCATCTTCCCTTCCTCCCTTCATCTCTTTTTTCCTTCTTCCAACAAAAGTGAGGCCATAGTGTCTATATAGTTTTATATCCTGTTGTTTCCCCTTATTTATATCATGAAGTATCTCCTAATTCATTGAGCATGAAAACATTAAATTTAGATTTTTGTTTCTTTCTATTACAAAAGTAATAGATTCATTTAGAGAATTTAGAATACAGAAATAAGCAAAAAATAATTATTGATAAACTTCTCACCCAGATACTCACTCTTAACATTTTCTGTATAAATTTCCAGCCTTTTTCATCTATATCTATATATGGGCTTGTATGATAAATACTATTTAATAACCTTCACTTAAATTATTACAGACATCTTTTCAAGTTCACTAAATTATTTTTACCACGTCATTTTAATGAATGTGTTTCTTCTGTTGTTAGAAAGTTATATTGTTTCTAGATGTTGATGTTATAAATAATCTATGATGACATTCTTTGCACTAAATATTTGTGTACATCTCTGGTTATTTCCTCAGGAAAAATGTCAACAAATGGAATTATTTAGATCAAAGGATAGGCATGGTGTGGTGGCTTCTAATGCATATTACCAAAATGTCCTATATAGTACAGAAAGATTTTATGGATTTATGCTACTAAGAGAATATGAGTATGTCCATTTTGCTGTATTCTTTTCAATATTGGGCATTAACATTGAAAAATTCATAATTGAAAACTGGTATATCATTTAAATTTACATTTCCTTGCTTCTTAGTAAAGTTGTATTTACTGATTATTACCGACTAAATTGCTTTTGTGTCCTTAGCCCTCAAACCTTTTAATTAAATGGTGTTAATCTTTTACTTCTTATTTTCATTTTGCTGAAAGAACAGATTATATACTAGATTCGTGGAATTTTAAAGATAGATAAGGCCATTGTTTCACTTTCTCAATTACAAATGATTTTACCCAGACCCAGGAAATATAAGTGACTTTCCCCCAAGGTCACACCACCAGTGTACGGCAGTCAGGACTAAAGATTCTTGGGTTTTTCTCTCTGTATAGAAATCAGTTGTGTGTATTATGTTTTAAACCATGACACGTACATTTCCTTGGTTAAAGGCATTTCCAGAATTTATATTTGATAATTAATATTTCATGTTGATTTTGGAAGCTAAGAAAAATAAAATATCGCACATAGTACAACTACAGTTCCAAAACCATCTAAAATTATATTAAACTATAATTTATTAAACTGGAGAGCTTACTTATTTTGAACTGATTTTCGACTTAACCAAAGTTGCAAAAATACTACATAGTTTACATATACTCCTCATCTAGCTTCCCCAAACATTGACATCATACAGACTCCAGTACAGTTATCAAAACTGGAGAATTAATGTTAGTATAATACTATCAATGAAAGTACAAACCATATTAAAATTTCACTAATTTTTCCAAAAACACCCTTTTCTGTTCCAGGATTCCAAATTTAGTTATTTCTCCTAGTCTCCTCCAATCTGTGACAGATCTTTGCCTTTCATGACTTGAGAAGAGTACTGATCAATTACTTTGTAGAATGTCCCTCAAATTAGGTTTGTCTGATATTTTCACACAGTTGGAATGAGATTAGGCACTTTGGCAAGAATATCACACAGAAATGAGGTTGTGTCCTTCTCAGTGCATCATACCAAGTCTTTAATGATGTTGGAATGTCTTGATTACTGGTGACACTGACCTTGATTTAGTTAAGGTAATGTTTGCCAGCTTTTCCACTGGAAAGTCCCTGTCTTTCCCTTTGTAGTTAATATATGCTTTCAAACTATACAAATCTTGTTTCTCTTCACACGCTCACTCACTAATTTTAACCGTCATCTATGGTTGTAGAAGTAAATTTAAGCAGAAATTTATCATGTGGATATTGGGTAAGTTATTGCTAAGCCACTAAGTTGGGATCATCTCTGAGGATAGGAAAATTTTGTAGAATTTAATTAACTAGAAACCTAGGTATTAGTTTTAAAGTCATAACTAACAAATGTAAAGAAGTAGGCAGACCAGGCTAAACCCTATCGTGTTAAACGTGCTTTTTAGGGTGACCAACCATCTCCATTTGCCTGGGACAGAGAGCATTTGTGTGACAGGAGACCATTAGTCCTGAAACTGGGAATGTCCCAGGCAAACCAGATGAGTTGGTCACCGTAGCTTTCAAAAGCTTGTCTTTAAAAAGAATTTAATGCTGAAAAATGCATGGAGTCCTTTGATTTGTTATGTTGCTTTAATCTCAAGTGTTACTGAGTCCTGTTGGTGCTGATAATCAACATTTGGTGGTTAGCTTTCCCTCCTGTTGGTCTCTGAGTTTTCATTAATGATCTCAGTGACTGCTTTGGCTGAAAGGAGGGGATTGAAAGTAGATATGGGGTTCTAAGCCTTGGCTGCACATTGTAGGCACCTTGCAAAGGGAGGCGGTTAAAAAATATGGACATCTGGGTCCTTCTCCAAATAATTAGAATAGAATTCCTGGAAGAGGGGCCTGGGGTTTGTTAAATTTTTTAAAGTTCCCTGAATGATTTTATTGTGCAGCTAGGGTGACAACCACTGAACCAGAGAAGGATGTGGGACCATCACATAACTGTATGGTGGTGAAGATAGTGCTTATTTTGTTCATGTCTGTGTTCTTGTGTTTTCAATGGCCTTTAGTGAAAGGGTTGAAATAAATAGCAAAATCTTTTTTTTTTAAAGATTTTTATTGGGGAGTGGGATCAGTGCTGGGGAATTGGGGGAAGGGGAACAGACAAGTTACTGTCCTTTCATTCTTCTGTCTAGTTGTGGAGCACATTGCTTCACTGGCCCAAGTTGGCACCATCATTGCGCTCTTCCTGGCCGAGGCAGATCAGTCACCGGCTTCTGGACAGCCGCTCACAGCAGCTGCTGGCCGCTCACGCTGACTGCTGGCTACAAACGGTAGCCCATGGCAACCCACTGCAGCAGGGGCTGCAGCCTATGCCATTGTCCAGGTTGAGCTGTTGTTCAGCATCTTAGCTGTAGAGGGCAGTGTCACTGGCCCTCAGATGTGGGATCCGAACCGGGGTCCTCTGGCGTCCCAAGCCAGCTCTTAACCAACACGCCACTCGGCCGGCCCAATAGCAAAATCTTTTTACGAATGCTTACTTTCTTTAAAAACCTCCGCTGTGAATTTTTACTTTTAAAACTCAAAATGCAGCAAAATTAGTTTTTTAAAATTTTCACATTTAACAGTGCATGAAGATGAATAAATTAAGATTTGTCAAGAACTATCAATAAATGAAGATTTGTCAAGAACAATCAAAATTTCCCAGGTTACTTGATTAAGCCAGTTAAGCTAAGGCAGTATTGTAGTGGTTGCACATATTGTACACAAAGAATTGTAAGGTTGTTTCCCACCAAATAAGACCATTTCTTTGTTCCTCGTTTCTTATTACTTTCCTCTTTATTTCCTCATTGGTCTCTTCTTGACTTTTACTGCACTTGCGGTCATTATCGCTGCACAAGCAACAGACAGCGCCACTCAGTTTCCTGCTCCTGGAAGCTGAGACGGTGTTTCCTCTGGTTCACTTACAGTTAATTGTATGACTACTTTGAAGAGTTTCACTCCTTGGCTGGAATCTTTTTTTTTTAAAGATTTTATTGGGGAATTGTGGGAGTGGAACAGCGTTGGGGAATTGGGGAAGGGGAACAGACAGGTAGACAAATTGCTGTTTTGTTCTTCAGTCTAGTTGTGGAGGACGTTGCTTCACTGGCCCAAGTTGGCATGATCATTGCCATGCTCTTCCCAGGTGAGGCAGATCATGCTCTTCCCAGGTGAGGCAGATCGGTCGCCGGTCATTGGTTGGCCCCTCACCAGGCTCACGGCAGCTCTCACTGGCTGCCAGCCACTCATATAGCTCACAGCAGCCCACTGCAGCTCTACTGCAGCCTACGCCATCGCCAGCGACTCACAGCAGCCCAGCTCCAGGTGGAGCTGTTGTTCACCATCTTAGTTGTAGAGGGCGCAGTGTCACTGGCCCTCATGTGGGATCCGAACTGTGGCCCTGCTGCTCAGAGCTGGCGCTCCCAAGTGAGCTCTTAACCAACTGAGCCACTCGGCCGGCCCTCCTTGGCTGAAATCTTAATTCATTCTTTGGGTCTCTGGAAGCATCACCTCAGTGGATGGAAATACTGGTCGGGCTAGTTATTTTAATAAGTTTAAAGAAAGAACCAACTGCCTACCCTAATTGGTGTAAACATAATGTTGCTCTCAACACTTTTACAAATTAGTGGTGACGTTAAAAAACACACTCAAGACCTTGGATTATCTTTTATTCTATTTTTGTACTACTAATTGATTTCTGAAAACACAAGAAGATTCTCCCCTATTTCTCTATTTAAAACTTTGCTTAATATTGAAGAACTGAGAGTGTCATTGGTTATTGAATTCCTGAGCTTGAATTGACCTGAGGTGACTGTTACTACTCTAAAATCAGAGACTTTGCTTTCCTCAGAGCTTATGGCAATGGTGTAAATATAATGTATATCCAGTAAATATTGACTGATTGATACTGTGGCTTTGAGCTCTCAGCCGCACTCTAAGTCAGGGTCTGCCTGGACTCAGACAATTTAATAATGCCTTTTGGAGAGAAGTAATAATAAATATTTCATTGAAGATATATCTTAATTATAAGAAATCTAATTCTGAAAGGTAAAAACAAAGTGCAGTGCAGTTCATTCTTTTAAATTATAGACACCTTTGAAAATGTGGTATATACTCTGGAACCTTTCCTTGGGAAAAAATATACATTCATACGACTTTGCCTGCAATTCCTGAAGGCCAGATGCAGACCTAGGGAAATCTTGGCCTTTATCTTAAAGCCGTTCCTCTACCGCCCCCTACTGGCTTGTCCTTGCCATGGCTGGCATGAATAGGAGATGATTTCTGTGACGTTTCTAAATATTTTTGTTTTCTTCTCCAGGGCTTATTGACTATAATTTTCATTGCTTCCGGAAGGCCATCCATGAAGTTTTTGAGGTGAGAATGAAAGTGGTGAAATCACGAAAGGTTCAGAATCGGCTGCAGAAGCAAAAAGGAGCCACCCCCAATGGGACCCCTAGACTGCTGCTGTAGGTGAGGTTTCAGGAACATCCTTTAAAATCAGACCTTTCAATGAGGCTGCTGCACTATGTTGCACTAAAGGAAGAGGAAGAAGGATATTGGGACACATAACAAATTTGTTGTAACAAAAAATTCCTGCAACCCTCTTGGTCTTTTCTTTTTAAAATAAAGCAAGCACTTTGAAGCAAAAACTTGTATATTAACAATGAAGTGAAATCCACTGTAATTTCATTACACAAATGTAAACTTTTATGGTCTGTAGTTACAAAAATCCTGTGTGAGAACTGCCAGGAACTGTATATATTTTGCACTTTTTCATGTTTTTTTCTCATTCAACTAAACTTTGATAAAACAAGTTTTCTAAGCTTTTTTCTGTACTTGGTGTCGAGGACATGCATATTGTAGTTCCTGTCTATATGGCAATCAGAAGTTAATCAAAAAGTGATGCATTGGCAATGACTTTTTATAAATTTGGGAATCTTTGCTACCAATTGTTGAGAAAAATCATTTTTCAGTGGAGCTGGAACAGATTAGGGCAGCAAGCTCCAGAAGCAATAACAACTGTCCTTTGTTTATAACTGGTGTAAATGGGAGTTTTGTAGAATAATATTAGCACCAAACTTATCTAAACATTTCTATAGCTGTGGCAATGCTTCCCTACTCAACAGTTTTTATGAAACTCTTTACCTCAACACACATCTCTATATAATTTTATACAGAGAGGTTATTGCTTTTTGCTGCATTACTGTTCTTTAGAACCTTTGGGACCAGATTTCCAAAATGGTGCCAATTACTGGAGAGAAATAAGAATGTTGCTGAACTGCAAGGTTTCTGGAGGCTTGTTTTGTACCTGCCACCCAGGCTAAAGTAACATCAGAGGCCACGTGGTTTCCCAAATGTAGGTGACTGGCAACTGCAGATATAAAACTATATATAAATCTGTATGTTTGGCCCCTGTGAAATGGGCCTATTATTGTGCAACATTTGAAATATTTATTTAGGACCAGGTTTTGTTCTACTTTCTGTTGTTTTAATTGCTCCATGATCACAGGGAATGTCTCAGATCTCTACCACAGAGCTGAATTCTGCGGGGCACATTTGTCACTTCTGAGCCTCCTCACCTGTGACAGTGTGCCTTGTGGAATCTGCCCGTTCCCACCTCATGATTAAACTAGAGCTCAGCTTGCCAGCAGCAGGCCCTGCACAGCTGAAAAGCCATCCTGAAAACCCCTACAGGTCAGTGGGAAGGGGATGGCCAGAGGAGGCGTTACAGTTAGCTGTATATTTGTTTCTATGAAATTCTTTCGCTTATGTTTACTTTAGAATAACAGCAAATTATTCTATAATAAACTCCTAAAGTTACCCCCATCCCAGGGGCCGGCCAAGTGGCTCAGTTGGTTAAGAGCTTGCTCAAGAGTTTGAGCTCTGAGCAACAGCGGTTCGAGTCCAGCCCGAGCTGAGCAGCCAACAGGTAGCAGGATGGAAAAACTTAAAAAAAAAAAAAAAAAAGTTACCCCCATCCCAAACCAATCCAAGTAGATAATTCTAGGTCCATCCCGAGTCAGTGCCCTAAAGTATGCTTGTGGGTATTAGAAAATAAAATTTTTTTAGCAGAGCCTCATAGGGATATCAAAGCTGCTCCTAGCAAAATGTATCAAGTTCCTAAAGCAGCTTGTCCTTGAAACTATCCCACTTCTATCTGTGGCTTCTTTCCATTTTCTCTCCTCAAGTCCTAACCCTTGAGACTGGTAATTGCAGTTGAAGATGGTAGCTGATTGGGGTTTAAAGTTTGAGCCCTCTCAAGGGTCTGTGAATTTTGGAAAGAAATTTCCAAAAATCTTGAAGGAGCTCTAACTCCTTTCCTTATGATTTCTTCTCAGAAACCTGGGTGAGTCAGAACCCGAGGTTCCAGGGAAGTCTTTTCCCTAATTGCCAGACCTGTACCCTGTTGGACCTTTGCCAACAGGCCTGGTACAGGTGGGTTATTCTTATAAATCTAGTTCTCTAATATTTTTTACACAGTGTTTCTTTCTGAATAAATAAAAAATTGCTTTTCTAATGTGACTTTATCTTCAATATAGAGACATTTGCCTATCTGGTAAATCACACATTACTTAGGTATATACATATATTATTGTAATCAGGTGGAGCTTACATTTTTGAGCTGGGTATATGATGGATTTTGTTAAAATGTGCCTTAAGAGCCTATTACTTCAAGAGCAAATGATTCTTTGGGGGAAAGGCAAAATTAATGCTATGGCATAGGACCCAAGTTCATGGTACTAAGTGCACTCGGATTAATCACACACTAGTATAGATTACTGCCTCAAACCTGTAAGCACGGCAATGAACTCTTAAAGAGAGATGTACGAGTTATGTCTAAGCATTTGGTTTTTAAAGTCTGCCATTGGAAGTACAAAATCTCTCAATTCCTTTTGCATTTTATTTTTGATGTGGGACTTAGCTTGTTGTGATGTGCATGGCCACACTTAGGTCTCAAATCAAATCCAATGCTATATATACAAAGACCAAACACATGGCTATAGTGACTGCTCTGGAACATTTTTGTTCATTTTCAAAGGTTGAGAACTTGACCTACAGGTTTTTAGGACAATTAGAACGTCTATGTGGAGGTGAGACTCTGTGAATTATCTATCTTTGGTTATTTTCAGTGATGTAGATTAGCGTGTATGACCAGTGTGAAGTGTGTTTGAAGGACTATAAATCAAAAATGGGTTGACATTCACAGATAGTGTTATTTTGTGAACATAGTATATTTTGGACCCTTAAATATAAAATAACTAAAAACACAGCAATATTGTTATATACGGGTTATATGCCAACTCTGAAACATACTCCAGAAAAATAGCTGAACTCTCTTGATGATTAAAGTACAGTATGCATTCAACTTGGATGGACCGGATGTAATTTATAATCACGTATAGTATTATGTTTTACTTCAAGCAGTACCTCATCTATAACCATTGTTAAACCATTGCTTTCATGAGTGTTAACATCCAATTTAAAAGCCTGTGTCATAACACTCATGATTTGGTAAGGCTCTTGTTTTATTTTAAGCATACTCATCACTAATCTTTTGGGGAGCAGAATGGCTTCTTTGGTGAAAAGGAAGTATGGTCTTTCATATTTGTGAGTTTGTTGACCATACATGCATATCACTGCTTTATTAGCCCTGTTGGGTCCCTTTAGTCAAATATGTTTGTCCTGATTAACCAGCGTTCCTTTTGTGGAAATGAAGATAAATCGCTCTGCTTAAATTAGATTTGCACATTTATTTTTATTTTTTTAAACCCTTTTATCTTTCCATATTTTTGATGGTGACATGCCTGTTTAGACTATAGAACTGTTGTTTCAGTAAACTTCAGATATTAATTCCTACTGCTCTGGCCCTAACCCTTAGCCGCCTGGAAATTATCTTCCTAACAGTCCACCTCATCGTTCCTTACTTGCTTAGTAAGTTTCCACTTTATGAATTTTATAGATCTCCTAAGAGTTCTCAGAGAGGGCTAGCATTTGATGTTATATCTTATATATAAAATCCTGTTTCTGATGGAAAACTTGATCTGAAGTAATGATTTTCAAGATTTTTAATCAGTGGTGATATTAAGTTTAGGAGGAAGAAAACATTGTCTCTAACAAAATTATTTAATAATAATTATAATAGATATTGAGTACACATAGTAGGCAACACACTGCTCTTAAGTGCTTTTACATAACTTATCCTCATAAACCCAAGAGGTAGGTACTATTATCATTCCTAATTTACAGATGAGGCAACTGAGGCCAAAGAGGTGAGATTACATGATCTTGATCTTGGTCAAGATCATGTGACTAGTAAGACACAAGGCCCAGATTCTCACTCAAGAGTCCACTCTCTCAACTACTACTCTAAGCAGCCTCACCAAATGTCCCCTTAAATGCCCTCCTTTCACAAATATGAAAAGGGGGACTTGAAGTTTAGGATGTAGTACCATATAAGTTTATGAAATACCTTTGCTTCCACAAAAATCAATAAAAGCAGTCTTCTAAATATACTTCACTCAAGAGAAGAAAGTCAACAAATATGTTGTTTTCCTCCTAACCCATTCAATAACTCTATTGCCAAAAATAATATTAACAGAGAGTGTTTAAATATCAGAAGAAAATTTAAATACCTTTTACAGTCATTTGGTTTTAAGAAGCAATAGTATATTAAACCCTAAGAAAATCAGGAGAGAATAAGCCTTTGATCTTAGCTGTATCCAACCTTTTACCTTGAGTTTTTAATATATGTAACAATAACTTATAGAAAACAAAACTCTTCTCTGGACTTAAATTCAAAAAGATACATTTCAATCCTAATCCTTCACACCTATATTTAAAATGGCCACTAACATATCTCTACTGGACTCTTGTATAGGAGGAGCCTCAAATCTAACATGTCCAAAACTGAGCTGTCTTCTTTCTTGCTAAATCTTCTGTGATGGTGTGACTATCCTCCCGTGCACCCCTGCCAGAAACTTGGGCCTCATTCTTGACTCTTACCTTCTGCTCACCTTCTCCAATCAATCACTCACTTCTTTCAGCTCAGTCTTACAAATGTCTATTGAATCTCTTTTCTCTGTCTCTTCTGCCTCTATCCTGGTGTAGACCACCACCTCCTGTTATTTGGATCTTAGTAGCCTCGTAACTAGTGTCTCTCTGCTCCATCCATCCATCCTCCACATAAGACCCAGAATGACCTTTCTGTTTCTGACCATATCACTTGCTTGCTCTACACCCTTCCTAGCTCTCCATTATCAGTCAAACTCCTTAACAGAGTTTGCAAGACTGACTTCCTGGTCCTGACCTCCCTCTCCAGCCTTGGTTCATCCTTAACAGAGCTGGACCAGAAGGCCCACACAGTGTGTGGTAAATGAGAGGAACTGTGAGTTTTGGTTCCTTTGTCAGTCATTTTCTGATGGAAATTTTAATTCATTTCATTCAACAGTTATTTATAGGACACTTATATGTAAGACATGTGCTTAGTAAAACAACTAAAAACAATGGCAATGGAAGGATTTTAATATCTAAAAATAATAGAAAATAAACCACTTTAATTTCAGATAGGCCCTCATAGGTGTCAGTTTTCACAACCACAGTTGTATCAGACTTTACCACTCTCCAGCAAAGACCATGGATAGCTATAACTAGCATCTGAGAAGTTGAGTTATTCAACTAGTAGCAGATCGATAGCTGTATTTAATATTATTAATTTACTGTAAGACTAAATACACTATAAGAAGTAGGTTGAGAAAGTGGCAATGTTTATTGAAGTAGTACTTTCCCTTGTAATTAAGAAAAGAGGTAAATTATCTTAAAAGTGTGAATTTTAAATCTTATTTTAATGTGCATATTTTGCTAACTTAGTACATACATGAAAGCAATATCATTTCCAGAATTAGATTTAATAAAAATTTTATTTTACTGTTACTCCTCTTATTAATCTGTTTGTACCAGGGACCTGTGAGTGCTGCCTAAGGTAGATGTTTGTGTTATCTTAATATGTTGACCTGAGGATCAGTAGAAGCTGTGAGAAGAGTGTGACTTAAATACCTTTTACAGCCATTTGGTTTTCCAAGAATATAGACTATAGGGCTAATGCAAAGTTTCTTTTTAGGTCATTGAGAATTTTGAAAGGTTGGATGATATTTTAAAATATGCCAAACTTGGCCTAGCAGATTCTCAGGAATATCTATTTTTATCATAAATTCAAGTTAAGTTCAGGCAGTGATCTTATTTCAGTTGTACCATCAGTATCTTTGCAGTTTTTCATAATAGCCATGATAAAGTGAAAATACAGAGGGTGCCAAAAAAATGTATACACATTGTAAGCAAGGAAAAAACTGTATTAAAGTTGTAATACTCAATATATACCAATAACAAAAGATGAGTGCAAGTCATGTGTATGCATTTTTTTGGCACCCCCAGTATAGGCTTGAATGGCCCTCATCATAATTTTAAAGATACTTCAAACTGTATCATGTTGTTCCAAGGAACAATTCAATTCAATAACAACAAATAAATAGATTTAAATTATATATAAAAATAAAATTATTAAAACTAAGTAAATAGGGGCCGGCCAAGTGGTTCAGTTGGTTAAGAGTTGGCTTAAGAGCGCAAGGTCTGAGCAACAGGGCCGCCAGTTTGATTCCCACATGGGCCAGTGGCACTGCGCCTGAGCTGAGCTGTCGCTGAGCTGCCAACAGGTGGCAGGATGGCTCAGCTGGTGTAACAACAAGATTGCCTGTTAGATGGTGGGCTATGCCCACCTGCAACTAAGACTGAACACAGCACCTTGAGTTTAGAGGCCATGAGCTGCCGACGAGAAGCCAGATGGTGACTGGCGCCCTCCACAACGAAGATTAAAGAACAACAACTTGGCTGGTCCCCTTCCCCAATTCC